GGGTTAAACCTCTCCAAAAAGAATTCATCATTTCTTTTTTGAAAATTATTTTCAGATTTGCCGATTTTATTCTTATGTGTATAGGTATTTGCCTACTACTAGTGTTTTCTGATGCTCTCTGGCTGATTTTTTTCCCTTTGTTTTTTTTTTTTTTAATGATTTCTTTTGTTCATGAGACAAGATTTCTGGCTATCCTGGAACTCACTGTATACACCAAGCTTGGCTTAAACTCAGAGATCCAGCTGCCTCTGCCTCCCAAGCTAGGATTAAAGGTGTGCATAGGTCAAAGGGTTGTGAACACTAAGAGTATTAATAATTTTAAAGTGCTCTTGGTGTGCAGGTGCTATATGAATGCTTACTATTAGTAAGATGGTTTTTTTTTTTCATAACAGCACCAACCTCCAAGAGTTCTTGCCAGAGCAGTGGCTTTGAAATGGGATATACCCTACCCCTCAATCACCTCAGGGCTCTACTAGTAAGACAGCCATCCTCAGGTCCTGGAGAAAGGACTCAGTGACTGAAACACTTGCTATGCAATCTGTAACTGCTGCTTTGAGAGTTTCAGCAACCCCTGCTAGCTTCCATATGAGCGCACCCCCCACAACACGTAAATATTAACAAGAAGAAGAAGAAGAAGAAGAAGAAGAAGAAGAAGAAGAAGAAGAAAAGAAGAAGAAGAAGAAGAAAAGAAGAAAGTAGTAACTAAGACAACCATTGAGCTATCTCTCCAACTCCTGGTAGAAGGGATTTTAGAACAGCAAAGTATCCAGGCTGAGAAGCAGGTATTATGGGTTATTTTTTTTATTCAGATTTACAAGGAGACTGAGGAGCAAAGGAATCAAGGTTGAGATTTGGAAGATTAGCAGCCAGAGGAGCTGAGAAAGGTCATAGAAGGTGTTTGGGTGGAAGCCTCACCCCAGCCCCTGGCATTTATATACCCAAAGAGTCTGGATTGTTTGGGTTAAAGCCTCATCCCAGCCCCTGGCATTCATATATCCAAAGAGTTTGGAATGTTTGGGTGGAAGTTCCACCCCAAGCTTCCTCCCATGGGAGTTGCCTCAGTTCAGACTCCACCTCCAGAAAGCCCACCAAACGATGACCCCACCCCAGAGATAGTCAAGATCACTCCCAAAGGGTATTTAAACTGGGTATTTTCCAGTCTTCCTTTCCCTTCTCCTCTCTGGGGGGCTGGAAAGCCATCTGGGAGCGTTGGTATCCACTAAACCTGGGTCTTTTCTTATTCAGTTTTATTTGGTCTGATTTGGATTATTGCATCAGCAGAGAGGCTTATTGGGGTACAGAAACTTTTCAGAAGGATGCATCCAGGAAGCTGTATGCCAGAGAGTGGTATTGGCTTAGCATTGGGATGGTTGGAAAAGGCGTGTAGTGTAGCTCAGAAATCAGCTTATTCTCCCCTCACAGGCGCAGAGGACTTGCAGAACAGAATTATTTCAGCATGTGCCTTGGGAAGGAGGTACCTTAGGCTCATTTCCCTGTTTCAGACTGGCCAAGCACTTTGTGGCTGCAACGTGAGTCACATGGGTCTAGGTACAGCTTGTACTTTGATGTCCATGTACTGAGTATGAAGACTTGCAGAATGCAAGAGTTAAGGAGTCATGGTGGCTTCTACCCAGCTTTCAAAGGAAAACCTAGGAAGCAAGGCAGAGTTTCTCACAGGGTAGGAACTTCTTCAGAGAGCCCAGATAGACTGTTTCTGTGTTGTCAGGCATGTTGAGACTCCAGAAAGGTACAGCTATCAGCAGTGTGAAGTGTGTGTCAGGCAGAGCTTCGGGCAGTGTGGAAAAGCAGCCCCAGGTAATAAGCAGAAGTCTTGGGGACTCACTTCTCAGCAAATGTATAAAAGAAGCTAGGCTTGCATTTCTTCAGTTAGAGTCTTTGCTGGGTTTCAGACTTTGCTTTGGACTGGGTGATCCTTTCTGTTTGTCTCTAGCCTTATATTAGATAAGGAATATCTATTCTAGTCCTCACCCACCATTTTATCTTGGAGGTATGTAACTCACTTACTGTTTTACAAGGAATCAGAAATAGAGGTGGTTGCCTTGAGTGTCAGATGAGACTTTGGCCTCTTGAGTGGCACTGGAACCTGTTATGCCCTGGGCTGTGGGATGGACTGAAAGCATTTTTGCACTGTGAGATGACAGGGCTATGGACTGATGTGACTACAGTCTCGAATTGTAGCCACCATGATTGTTACTAAGTAATCATAGCTAATTTTTTGGCTTATTTCTCCAGCAAACCATAAATGGATAAAATCACTACATGTAGCGATTTACCATAGGACCCTGATCCAGGATTGCTCTTGACTCCTTAGTATTATCTTAAGATAAAGCAGGTACATTCCAGCCACGATAGTCATTTTTGTCCTGACCCATAAATAAACACCTCCCTTTGACCCAAATTGCAGGCTCTAACTGGACTTGATACTGTTTATGACCAAACTTCTGTCAGTAAGTCCTCCAGTAAGCTGTGTTCTGTATAGCTTAGGTCTGTTCTGTCCTTATTGTACGAGTGTAATAGTGGGACTTTTAAGAGATGGAGCTTAATAGGATGTTTCTGGGGTTCCACCCCTCAGTAGGTGTTAAGGTAGGTTTATGGGACCCAGAGTCTGTCTGTCTGTCTGTCTGTCTATCATGTTAGTTATTTGAGACAAAGTCTCTCTATGTAGTCCTGGCTGTCCTGGAACTCAAACTTGAAATTGCCTATCACTGGGATTAAAGGCATACACCACCACCCCCAGCCTTACAGTTATATATATATCTTTTTATTTTTTGATATATTTTATTGGCATTATCAAAAGTTATCCTTGAAGATATGAAATTATTCAGAAATCATGTTCTCGGCTTGCCTATATGTTGGCACTATGCAATAATTAAAATATCAACTGTGTCATAAAATGTATCGGAAGTTAGTATGTTAACACTATTTTATTTCAAACTGTAGAACTGTTCATTCCATTTATTTTTTTTATTCTACTTTTCTTTAATATTGAAGAAGATAGCCTTGCAGAAAAAAAACAGCAGCAGCAACAACAACCAATTTCTAATAGGCAGGCCATCAGTACTACTGACTAACTACATTTCTTTTTTTATTACTTTATTAATACTTCCTCCCCTCCACCTGCTTCCCTCTCACTCCCCCACTCACCCTCCTACCCTCCCCCTCCAGTCCTAAGAGGGGGCAGGGTATCCTGTCCTGTGGGAAGTCCAAGGCCCTCCCACTTACATTCAGGCCTAGTAAGGTGAGCATCCAAATAGACTAGGATCCAAAAAAGCCAGTACATGCCATAGAGATAAATCTCAGTGCCTCAGTTATATTTTTTTAAGTTGCATTTTAATTTTTAAATTTATTTTTATTATTTTAATTATATTATTTTAATTGTTTATATGTATGTGTGTGGTAGGTGTGTACATGTGAGTGTAGTGTGAAAGAGGCCAGAAGCACAACATTCCTCTGGAGCTGGAGTTCCCAACAGTTATTAGCTGCCTGTGTGGATCCTGGGCACTGAACTGGGGTCCTCTGGAAGAGCACCTTCTCAATTACAGAGCCATCTTCCATCCCCTTGTGCAGTTTAACGTATGTCAATTATACCTCAAGAGTTGTAAAAATATGGCATGCATTATATAGCAGTGCTATGTACATACGTCATGTAGCACGTGAGCATGCATTATGCAGCTCATGTTAGGAGTCAACAAATTGGGATTAAGAAGGAACTCTAGAGATGATCTCATTTGAGGGCTGATCTGTTCAGGAAACGGTAGAGATATTTGTTTTTTAAATAAAACATTTTATTTTGGAAAGGAAAGCTTCTGGAAAAGTTGCAGGAACACTAAGATGAACTTCCTCGTGCTAAATCTAGGGTCATACTTTGCTGTTTTCCTCAGTGTGGGATCCAACATAGGGCCTTGTGACTGGTGGGCAAGTGCTCTACTGAGTTATACTTAAGCTCTGCTTTTTAAGTATATATTATGACATTTTCCTTGTTTTCCCTTCCTCTATTTGTGTTGGGGAAAAATCATAAAAAGGAAAGCCTATCACAAAGTTCCTGAATATTAAGATAAGTCCCATATTCCTCACCTAGATTCATGTGTTGCAAATATTTTGCCATTGTCAAAAAATAATAATTTCTTTTTTCCCCTTCCTCTTTCTTGTCGTACCTAGAGTAAGTTGTAGATATGACTTTGTTTCAGGAAACTTCAATGTATGGCACCTAAAAACAAGCACTGCATGACAGCACAATCACCAGTTTCTTTGTTTCTCGTGACCAACAGTTTTTGAGGATTAGGCTCCTGTGGGATGTCCTTCAGTGGGAGTTTGTTAGCTTTTTTCCTCCTGACCTCATGGTAGACTAGTGATTATGGGTGGTTTTGTGGCATGACACCCCCCCCCCCCGCTATCAAGGTAACCCCTTTCCCTTTGTAATTAATAATTAATCTATGGAGAGATGTTTTGACATTGTGGAAATATCTTGTTCCTCAGCAAACTGTCCCATGATAGGTTTGGAATTCTTTATCAAACATTCTGAAGGTGGAACCTAGAAGTGATAGTATTAACAGGTAGATTGTTGACTTTACTTTTATTTATTTATTTATTTATTCTTAAATATTTATTTATTTATTATGTATACAATATTCTGTGTGCGTCTGAAGGCCAGAAGAGGGCACCAGACCTCATTACAGATGGTTGTGAGCCATCATGTGGTTGCTGGGAATTGAACTCAGGACCTTTGGAAGAGCAGGCAATGCTCTTAACTGCTGAGCCATCTCTCCAGCCCCCCTTGACTTTACTTTTAAGCCAAAAAAGCAACAACTAGTCTTAAATATTTTACATTGGTATGGATTTTTGAATATTGATACAAATCTGAAGTTATTTTTGTTAGAACATATTGTATATATGTTTCTACTCTTTTTAAAAGTATTATACCTATGCAGCTCCTCTAACAATGTAATGTAAATTTCTAGTCCTTGAAAGTTATTATTACAAACCATTTAGGATAATAAAGAAATATAGGTTCCCTTTTAAGCTCGGCGGCTGGGAGGTGGGGCCCACGCGGAGTCAACATGAGGATCGAGAAGTGTTATTTCTGTTCCGGGCTGATCTACCCTGGCCACGGCATGATGTTCGTCCGCAACGACTGCAAGGTGGTGTTCCGATTTTGCAAATCCAAGTGTCATAGGAACTTCAAGAAGAAGCGGAATCCACGTAAGGTCAGGTGGACTAAAGCCTTCCGGAAGGCAGCTGGCAAGGAGCTCACGGTGGACAACTCATTTGAATTTGAAAAGCGTAGAAATGAACCCGTGAAATACCAGCGAGAGCTATGGAATAAAACTATTGATGCAATGAAGAGGGTTGAAGAGATCAAACAGAAACGGCAGGCCAAGTTTATAATGAACAGGTTGAAGAAAAACAAAGAGCTCCAGAAGGTTCAGGATATCAAAGAAGTCAAACAGAATATCCATCTTATCCGGGCTCCTCTTGCAGGCAAAGGAAAGCAGCTGGAAGAAAAAATGGTACAGCAGTTACAGGAGGATGTGGACATGGAGGGTGCTTCCTAATGGTGCCGCCTGCAGCCAGCCCTGCGCACACTGGAAACCAGTGGAGACTGTCGGTCCCTAAGTTATTGATTGGTTACATAATGTCCCCCAGGCAAAGGTGACTCATGTGCTTCTCTCTACAGTGCAGCCTGTAAAAGCATCCATTGCGGGTGATAGGTCTCAACTCAATGTGCTGCTTCACTGTGTTATGCTCACAGAAACACGAAAGTTTGTGTGTAGATGAAGGTGTGAACCGTGGGCATCATATGGTTGAGTCGTTGCTTAATGGCACCAGGCAACATTTCTGCACTGACTATCATGCTAGTGTGAAATTCGTAATAAAGTAATATTTTCCTTGCACTAGGATAGTTTATTTATTAGGGTTATTGATGCAGAGGTCACAGCAAGGAACTAACCATTCTCATGACAACCTCAGTCTCTTGTTTTGCTTTAGTTTGTTTAGGATCTCCTTAGACTTGCATAATGGCCTCATACAGTGCCACAGTGCAGCTGAATTATGCTGGGCTGTCTGCCCTGTCGGCAGCTTGTGGATGGTGGGGGTGGGGTGGGGTTTAATAAACTGCCTGAATGGCCTCTCATTACTGCTTTGGAGAATGCTCAGTTCCCAGCTGTGACTTCTGCTCCCTCCACTCCAGTTCTCTCCAGCCCAGCAGTAGTCTAGAAACAGAAGAATCTTGGTGCCTTTTAAAATTTATTTTGTGGTTTTCTTTTACTTTTTTTTTTGAGATAAGCTTTCTCTATTGTGTAGCTTTAGCTGTCCTGGAACTCACGGAGATCTACCTGCCGCCTCCTGTATGCTGGGATTAAAGGTGTGTACCACCACACCAAGCATTTTTGATTTTCTTAATTAAAAAAAAAAACGCAAACAACCCAGCCAAACAAAAACTCATTGTTTTTTGAAAACAGAATGGAAAGAATGTTGCCTATTAATTTGTACATAAATAAAACCATTTCTAAAGTGCTAAAAAAGAAAGAAATATAGGTTGGTAATCACCTATTCCAATCAAACCTATAGTCTTGTTAAATATGTTTTCAAGGCCATACAGAGATATTTAAATAGGCAAGTCATCTTCAAACACTTCATAGATCTACAGGATATGGCATTTAAGATGTTTTAATATCATAGATTCTTTTTTTTTTATGACAATGAGACATGTCTGCTCCTGGTAACCCAAATCTACTTCAGAGAAGATCATGGACATCAAAGAATCTCCATATGGAGTTTGCCTTTTTCATGGCAAAAGTTAGTCACTGGACAAGAAACTGCCCTTGCCTGGACTGCTGACAGTATGCTCTCCAAACTGGACAAGTAGGACATAAAAGATAGTGACTGCCGAACTTTGCCAAGACAAGGTAGGACAGTCCTTCAAAATCCCTGCTTCTCCAGAAAGTCTGTCAGATATGCTAGGCCTGTAGGCCAAAGATGGATGCCCCATTGTTACATAAGTACTTTGGGTGACTGTCAAGGCAGCCAGATATCTATGTTGTTGGTAACATTTCACCCTTCTGGAGTCCTTAAAGAAGTTGAAGACTAGATAGTCATAAAGTTTTTCCTAGTTATAATAAAAGGTAAATTAGGTATAAAACTTTAGACTCATAGGGATAAATAATAGAGTATTTTCTTTAAATTTGCCAAATACAAATGGATTGGGTATTGTTAAATATAATTCTTACTTAAGAACTGTTTTATTGTATATAATTTTACTATCTAATTAAACAAAAGGAGGAAATGTGGAGTATTCTTCTTTACACTGTGTGAATATATGTTGCTCTGATTGATTTAATAAAGCTAACTGGCCAATAGCTGGACAGGATAAGGTTGAAGGGAGAACCAGACTAAGGACACTGGGAAGAAGGGCAGAGTTAGAGGAGTTGCAAGCCAGACATGGAGAAGAAGCAGGAAGTGCAAGAAAAAAAAAAGAGGTAACGCCATGTGGCAGAATATAGATTAATATAAATGAGTTAATTAAAGTTGTGCGAGTTAGCTAGTAACCAGTCTGAGCTACTGGCCTAGCATTTATGACTAATAATAAGTCCCTGAGTGCTTATTTGGGAATGTCTGCCAAGACAGAAAAACTGCCTTCAGGAACCCTGCATGTGGCTTCCATGTATCAATTGATAAAATAGTGGCTACCTGCATTTAATTTTGCTACACTTACTTATTTCTTTGCTTCCTCATTTTTTATGGGAGGTTTGTGCATATGTGGCGGTCAAAGGACAACTTACAGTAATCAGTTGTCTCCTTCCGTGGTGTAGATCCTTGATATTGAACTTAGGTCATCAGACTTGGCAGTGGGAGCTTTTTCTCACTAATCCATCTCACCAGCCTGTATTATATTTTAATTGGCAAATAATAATTATGTATAGATATGGATACACTGTAATTGTGTGTTTGTGGTGCTGGAAATTGAACCAAGTGCTTTTGCATGGTAGACAAGACTACCACTGGGCTACATTTCCAGCCTTTCCTTTTGTGCGACAAGATCTTGCTATATAACTCAGACCGACAGGGAACTTGCCGTGCAGGCTAGGAGGCTGGCCTTGAACTCGTCATTCGCCAGCCTTTGGCACTCAAGTACTGAGATCACAGGCCTGTGTCCCTGTGTATGCACACTGTGGTGCTGTATGTGTGCTAGTTGGGAAACCTCAGCTGAGGAACTGAACAGCAGCTTCTAGAAGAGCCCTGTGATGGGAAGGTCTTAGCAAGCCTGTCAGATCAGTGCATAGTTAGAGGTTAATTGTTAACTAAGTTCTCAGTGTTGGTGGCACTTCACCCTCTTCCAGGCCTGTTTGTGTTTGTGATGAAAGGCAGTTTCTGGGCGGTGCTCCTGTCAGTCACGACTGCTATCTCCCTGTGTCAGGCTCCTGCTTAGCCATGACTCACAGGGCGTCGTCACTTCAGCCTCTTGAGAACCAGGCCAGGTTTCTTGTAGATCTTGACACATTTCCACATGGGCCTGAGCTGGAGGGAGGAAAGGGAAGCACAGCTGCAGGACATCTGGTCAGGACAGCTCTCAGGAGGCTGACAGGAGTCGTCCAGGCAAAGAGGGATGCCTCGTCCTCTGTCTTCTTCTATCCAGCGATCTTCCACTGTGCCATCCTTTATCATAGAGCTTCCTCTAGCCCCAGTTTCTGGCTGGTGCCTAATAATTCATCATTCAAAAGAAATTTGTTGCTTCATGCAGACTGTATTACCCAAGAAAATGCAAATTTGGGGCTAACAGGGTGGTTCGTCAGATAAAGCCACTCATCACCAGACTTCACAACTTTAGCCCAATCCCCAGAGCTTGTGTGGTAAAAAGAGGGAGCTAGTGCTCACAAGTTGTCCTCCTCCACATATATGTACTCGTGTATACGCGTGCGCGCGCGCGCGCACACGCGCGCGCACACACACAACTGTAGTAAAATTTTGTAGTGCAGCTATTCCCACTGGGACTGGAGAGGTAGACAAGCCCACATCTAAACAAGACATCAGTTGTTCTGACTCTCAGGATAGGGAGATGTTAGATACTTCCTGCTAAACTAGACAGAAAAGTGGGTTTTCTTTTAGAGAAAGAGATTCTGTGTATTTATTAGCTGGGAATTCTGAACCAGCTTTAGGTGGTGACCCTGAAAGAAGAAGAGATGGCATGGTGACTCACAACTGTAATCCTGTGCCAGAAGGCTGAGGCAAGAGCACTTTACCGAAGACAGCTTTCCCATTGCACCTGCTATGTTTCTGGGATGGATGCAGAGCGCGACAAGCTGGGGGTGGTAATGCCTGCCTGTAACTCCAGCATTTGGAAGGTAGAGGCAGCAGGTGCCTCACAAGTAGGAGGCCACCCTGTGTTCTAGGCCAGCCAGTGCTACATGAGACCCTGTCCTAACTTCCCAATCCCCTGATACACTTCAGAATTAAATAAAATAAAAAAGTTACCCATTACCAGTGTGCTAAAATACTTTAGATTTTACAGTGTTTGTATTTCAGGTTAGGAATTTGTAATCAGTGAAGTCTAAGTGTGTATTCCCAAATCCCAAATCTGACAGATCGGAATCTGACAGCCCTGGTCACAAGCACTTCAACTAACTTGATTTGGACAGGAGTCATCCTCAGCCAAGTCTCTGAAGTCCTCTGCACACAGTCAAGATAGGGAATGGGCAGTGTGTGGGCTGCAGTGCTGGGGAGTAAGTTTCGGGGCAGGAGATGAACTGTGGCCATTGTTCACAGTAGTGCCTTCTGCATTTCTTTATTACCATTGGCTCATCTTGGTGAAAGGTATGCTCTGTAATTACTGTTTTGCTGAGTGCATTTGCATCTCTCAAATACTGGTTCAGACATTTTTTTTCTACAATTTTCTTTTTTGAGCAGTTAAAAGAAAATGGATGCACAGAGTTCAGCTAAAGTCAATTCGAGGAAGAGGAGAAAAGAGGCACCTGGCCCTAATGGAGCAACAGAGGAAGATGGCATTCCTTCAAAAGTGCAGCACTGCTCAGTCGTAAGTGCAGAGCTGTGGCTGGGACGCCCTGGTGATGGAGGTAGAAGGTGGTGGAACGTTGACAAAGGTGTTAGTGTTCTTAGATAGCGTGAATGGTCAAGGATGGTGTGCTTTCTTGCCTTCCTATGAATTGCAGCTCAGTTGTAGAAGCTTTACATGGAAATTGAAAAAATTGACTAGGATAATTTGGAAGATATAAAATATCAAGCCAAAAATCAAATTTTAGTAACAAAATAGAGACATTTCAGTTTCTGCTAGTAATTGGGTATGGGTATCATCTCATGGTGTCAGTGTTCTGTGTGTTCTGTCCTCTCTGTATCTTTCTATACTTCACTGTCTCCTTTGTACACCTTCGTCTCTTCTTCCTAGACTATTTCCAAGCCTTAGATGAATTAGACCCCATTTCAAATTTCTTGTCTTGTCTCAACTTGGTACCTTCTTTTTTTTTAAAGTTTTTTTTTAAATTTATTATGTATACAATATTCTGTGTGTATGTCTGCAGGCCAGAAGAGGGCACCAGACCTCATTACAGATGGTTGTGAGCCACCATGTGGTTGCCAGGAATTGAACTCAGGACCTTTGGAAGAGCAGGCAATGCTCTTAACCACTGAGCCATCTCTCCAGCCCAACTTGATACCTTCTTAATGTGTCCCCTAAAACATGTCAGAAGACTTGGAGATGATTGAAGTTACTACTGAACCACAATATTATTTTGAAACCCGTGTTTCTGTGTTTCATTTCCTCTATTGACCATAGCCATTTATCAAATTAACAACCTTTGCTAATTCCTTCTGAGCTCTCTGGCCACCTTGAGACAAACCAATACTTCATCTACCTCTTGTCTGTTCATTTTGAGATAGGGTCTCCCACGCTGACTTTAAACTCAGGACAGTTCTCTTGCCTCTGAGTTCTGAGGTTCCAGTTTGGATTACATCACAGCCAACTTGAATACTTTCTCTTAAACAATAAAATCAGCTGATCTCCATATGTAGGAGCCTTGTGTCCTGGCCTGGTTCAGGTGGGGCAGCCCGACTCCTTTCCCATTGTTGCTGTGACAACCACAAGTGGAGAAGGAGGACTGTTCTGGAGAGGAGAAGTCTGAAGTGGTGTTGGAGAATTGGAAGCAGTATTGGCAAAGATGGGGATACTAGGGGAAAGTCCATTTTTCCCCCTCTAGTTTCTAGAGGCTGTTCACATTGCCTCTAATTTTCCGTTTTCCTTCCTTTTCTTCCTATTTATAAGGATTTTTTGTGGTTGCTTTTGCCATATCTGTATTATCCAGATTAATTTTCCTGTCCTGATAGCCTAAATTTAGCCATGTCGGCAGAGGCCCTTTTGCTGAATAAGGTAGCATTGTCAGAGGTTCCATAGAATCACAAAGATGTGGACATTCTTAGGGAGTATGATTCTGCATGCCATAGGAAACTCAGAAGATGGCTTAGTAATCAATGGAATAGTGCATTGTGCCAGCTGTGTTTATTCCCAGAATCTAGTACTCGGCAGGCAGGCAGAGGTCGAGACCATCCTGGTCTACATCTAGAGAGGAGCCCAGCAAACACTACATAATGGGATCCTGTCTCAAGAAACAAAACAACACAAAAAATTAGGGCATTATTCATTTCTGAAAGTCTCTCAGAGAATTCAGATTAAAGAGATGATGATGGCCTCAGTTCAGCTGTGTCACTTAGAGTAGGGACAGCTCAGCCACATAGCTCCAGTCCTGTGCTGAGGAGCAGAGGCCAGTCTGTGCAGTGAAAGGAGCTTCAGGAAGACTTGAGGGGGTCTCGCTGCTTTAAATGACTTTGCTTCACAGATCCCTGGAAAATGATTTACATGGATTCAGTTACTTGCTGCCCCCATCTCCTGGGTATACACCAGCCCTGGCTAATGGCCCAAACCCTGCTCACCCAGCATGCTGACTGACCCTAGCAGGAGAGCATTTGCTAAAGGAAACTGTTGACCATCACTAAGAATTAAGGAATAACATTGTTCAATTTTCTCTATATTTTTAGAGTATTTGCTGATAGGGATATTTCTAAAGGCAAAAATCAAAAGGATCATGATGGCTAGGGATATACCTCAGTGGTAGAGTGCCGGCCTAGTAGTTACCGTCCTGAATTTGATTTAACCCCCGCCCTCTCCTCAATATCGCTCTCTCTTTCTCTCTCTCTCTCTCTCTCTCTCTCTCTCTCTCTCTCTCTCTTAAAAAATCAAATGATTCACTGGGCATGGTGTTTGCATACTGGAGGCAGAGGCAGGCAGATCCACAGAGCAAGTTCCAGGACAGCCAGGCTACACAGAGAAACCCTGTCTCTTATAACTAAAAATAAGGAAATAAATAATCACAAAATTATTTGTAAAAATTAAAATTTAGCATATCTGAATATGTTTCACTCATAAGTATATGTGGTATGTATGTATGTATGATTAAGTAAAGCACCTAAACTGAGGAAAAGCCAGGGTTATCCTTATGACTAAGGTTCCACAGTCCCTTTTCAGCAAACACATATTGAGAACGCCTGGGTACCAGTTGCTGCTATTGAGATTGCAAAGATGAGGCTATGACCCAGTTGTAGTAAATACCTATAATCTGAACAGTTGAGGCTAAGCCAGGAGGATTTAAGAAACTGGGCTGTATAGTTCATGGCCAGCCTTTGTTTCAAAAACAAAACCAGCAATGATAACAACAACAAAGACAAGAAAAGGAGACAGTCACAAATCATGTGTAGGTGAAAAGTACCAGCTAGAAGGAAACTGAAGATACCGAGAAGTTGACATTAACTGAGGGGTGGAGGAAGTAATTTGTTCTGACCCATGGCCCACAGACCATGTGTGGCCAAGGAGAGCTATGGAGCAGCCCAGCACAGAAGTGTAAGCTTACTTATCCTGGGGCTGGAAAGATGGTCAGTGGTTACAGGCACTGGCTTAACTCCCAGCATCCATGTGGTGACTCACAACCATCTGTAACTCCAGTTCCAGGGCATCTGATGCCCTCCTGACCTCTGCCAACACCAGGCATATAAGCTGCACACAGACTTGTGTGCAAGCAAAACACTCACACACGAAATAAAAAATAAAAAGCCTTGAGGGGCTGGAGACACGGCTTAGTGGTTGAGAGCACTGACTGCTCTTCCAGAGGACCAAGGTTCAATTCCCAGCACCTACCTGGCAGCTCACACCTGTCTGTAGCTCCAGTCCCAGGGCTGCTGACATCCTCATGCAGATACACCAATGAACACAAAATTTAATATATATATATATATAATAAGCCTCATCAAAATAGTGAATTAATTTTTTTTTTATTTGAGACATTTTCTCCCTCCCTCCCTTGCTTCCTTGTTGCACAGCCCTTGATCACGAACTTTGTAAATGATAACTTGTCATTTCACAGTGTCAAAAGATTGGACATCCCTGCTAGGGGATAGAAACTCCCCGCTCCATTGTTCTCATCTCTTTCTCTAGAGCCTTTCCCCTGGCATTATGAAAATAATGATTATTCTACAAGGACCTGGTTTTATTATGTAGACTGTTTGGGCAAAAGAGAATTGCTCTGTGGCCATCAGAAACCTGTGCTAAGGAATACTCAGAGACAGGACAAGGAAGAGCAGCAGTAGGAAGCTGCTGAAGTTAAGGTTCATGCTGATGTTGCCACAGGACAAACCCAGGGCACAATTAAACATGTGTGTGTGTCCAGCCCATTTGAAGTGTTCCTTCATGCTCCCTGCCATTCAGTTTCCTCAGCCAAATTTTAATAAAGCATTTATATGAAACAAGTAGAAAGCTTGTGTTTATTAAAACATAGTGCACTCAGATAAAAGACCAGATCTTGTGAACACTGAAAGGCTGTATCAGTGGGGTGCTGGAGACAGTTACTAAATAATCAGAAAATTTGTCAGCTGATAAAATCATTGATTACTTGGAATGCTACATGTCAAAGCCAGACAAAACACAACTAAGGAGATTGCGACTTAAAGTCTCTCACAAACTGAGATGCAAAAAACCCTTAACAATATTTTAGCAGATTGAATCCATGAACAAAGCCTAGGCAAGCACTATGCTGTCCCCACAGGACTGCAAGATGGATTAATAGAACACACTATAATTAATCAATGAAGGAAAGAATAAGCATGATTATTTCAGTAGTCCCATTTTCTTGGATCTGAGCTTAGGTTCCCATCAGATTGCTCAGTTTTATCCTGAAACCACCGGAAAAGACATTTGCTCTCCATGCCGTGGTTTATTCAGTCCGAAGGTTTTCACTTTGGAGCACTCTCCTCCTTCTCGGTGTTATAGAGTCTCCATCACATTGTGGAATAACTGTCTATTCTTTAAAGCTGTGTTATTTTGAGCGCTTCAGTGTACACCATTGTGTCTGACTTAATTTTCTGTCATGTTCTTGTTCAGGGCTTACGGCAGCCAGCTCCTTTTTCTGATGAAATTGAAGTTGACTTTAGTAAGCCCTATGTCAGGGTAACGATGGAAGAAGCCTGCAGAGGAACTCCTTGTAAGTAACTGCTTAACTATTCTGTTTGCTACAGTCTTTAGCGTGCTAGTCTGCCGCAGTGTTCTGTCGCAGAGGATAGCCTCGTTCTATAAAATTGTACACGTTTTTCCTTGTTACACATTTATTTCCTGGGTTGTTGGCATTGCTGTCATGAAACAAAAGACAAAACAAAATAAAAAAACCAAACCGCAACAAAACCCCTCACAACTGTTTAGTCTGACGTCTAAGAATGTCACTCATTGGTCGGGTTTGATCCCCATTGTGGCAGGACAGAAAAGATAGATGTTAGCTCTAGCTGGATTGTGATCTTGTTTGTTTTGTGGTACAGGGAAGTCAAATCTAGAACCTTGCTCATGGTTGGCAAGGATTCTATCTACTCAGCTTTACTTCTTGCCCTATAATGTTGTCTATTTATATAAATACCGAAATAATTAATATATCAAACTGTCATATATTTTTCCTAGCCTCAGAATTTCCTCCGTAATTTTTTCTCAAAGTGTCAGTCAACTATGATGTTCCTGATTGATGGAAAACAAAAACATCTCATTGGGAAAGAGTCATCTCTTAATTTTATCTTTAATGATATAATTGTATTCTTTTTAAAATGCTTGCTTTATTATTTTTAATGCCCATTTTCTTTATAGGTTTAATATATATCATTAGTTAACAATTTTGGCCAAGTAATTTTTTTAGTGAGCACTCATGTGCATGCATGTGTGTACATGTGTGTGCATATGCATATTGATTGTGTGTGTGCATTCTGTGTATATGTGGGCATGAGTGCCACAGTACATGTGAGGAAGTCAGGAAACAAGTGAGTTCTTTCCTTCTGCCTCCTCATGGGTTCTGGAGATCAAATGCCTGTCACCAGACTTGTGTGACAAGTGCTTTCACTCGTTGAACTGTGTCATTGGCCCCTGATAATTATTAATATATGTTCTGGGGATTCTTCTGCTTTGAACAGTTGGCTTTGGGGATCACCATACATAGAAGCACTCAGGTGTGTGGTGGCACACCTGTAACCTCAGCTGGGGGTGGAGGCACGAAGATCATTTCGGATTGTCTTTGGCTACCACTAGAAAATTTGAGGCCAGCTTGAAGTTGAGACCCTGTCTCAAAATACCACCCACCTTGGGCTTAGATGACTTACCCATTAACTCCAGCCTCAAGGACCTGACACCCTTTCTGGCCTCTGTGGGTATTGCATGAACAAGATACACAGACATATATAAAGGCAAAATACCCCCCCCACACACACACACCAAAAAACCAAAAGCAGAAAAACCCAATACAACAACCCAAAACCAAAATAAACCACCTATCCTCACAAATAAATGAAACCCCTCATAAGCATGTACTGTAAATACTACCATGCAGGCAGATATTCTTTCCTTCTTGTCTATAAATCCTCCATTCTCTTCCCTTTTCTACTCCTTTGTCAGTTCTGATAAGTATTCTGTCTACTCTGCAAATATAGGGCTGCACTTAGCTCTAGGCAAACACAGAGTAAGAGGCCATTACAACCACAGCACATTCTCATACAGACACAATGTGTTTATGAATCTTACCCCTCATCCTTCTTCCCGGTTGGCCTGGAACTCACAAAGACCATTTGCTTCTACCCCTCCACCCCTACTCCAGCACTGGGATAAAGGCTCCACCTCTGCTGGATGTGACTGCTTTTGGTTTTTTGTTTGTTTCTTTGTTTGTTTTGGGCAGGGTCTCTTGATGTAGCCCTGGCTGTCTTGGAACTGTCTGGCTGTCTGGCTGTCCAGAGTCCCTCTGGATCAGATTGGACTCAAACTCACAGAGATCCACCTGCTTCTGCCTCCCAAGTGCTGAGATTAAATTTGTGCACTGTGATTACTTCTTAATTGTGTTTGTTTGTTTCCTTCTAAGTGAAGACTAGTAACATACAACTATACCTGCTGCTGGGCAATGTCGATGACCAGGAATCCCAAGACCCTTTGACTATGTTTTGGTTGTGTAAATTATTATGATCCCTAGATTCCTAAGACAACAAAAATCTAGTTCCTGAGGGCTTGATTTCTGCAAAATATTTAGGTATGACTCATGTTGATCACAGCCTTTCTATTCATGAAGTGAATTTAATTTATTTAGTTATTAGGACAGATTTTCACTATGTAGCCTCTTAAATTTTTAAAATTACATTTATGTACTTATTTTGTATGTGTGTGTGTGTGTGTGTGTGTGTGTGTGTGTATGTGTGACACAGTATACATGTTGAAGTCAGGGACAACTTTCAGTAGTTGGTTTTCTTCTACCATAAGTCTTGGGACTTGAACTCAAATAGGCAGGCCTGGAGGTCAAATTTCAAAATGCCGACAGACAGTTCATGTTTCACAGTCAGCTGTAGTAGTAGAACTTGTTGTAGTCAACAACTTTATGCATTGTGTATGACACACATTCAGAATTTACCCTCTGCTCAGGTCTGTTCACAGTTATCCGGGTTGTTATTAGCATCCGCGCGTCATCGTGGTGCATCAGAAAAGTAGTGGTGTGCTGAGGGAGAGCTCAGAGGGAGAGCCTGGGCTTAGCGTGCCTGAGACCTGAGGTCCGTGTTTAGAAAGAAAAGAAAAGGTGCTGCAGTATTCCCAGGTTTTGAATCTTTTAATAGATAAACACTGATGATTTTAATTATTTAAAAATTTTAGAAAAAATACTTTTTTGGGGGACAGGGTTTCTCTGCATAGCCCTGACTGTCCTGGAACGCATTCTGCAGATGAGGCTAGCCTCAAACTAATAGAGATCCTCCTGTCTCCATCTCCTGAGTGCTGGGATTAAAGGCGTGAGCCAGCACCACCCAGTGTAGAATATAATTTCTAAATAATGCTTGAGATTATCTTCATTATATATGTGAAAAAATTAAGAAAGCAGGTAAAGTCAACAGAAAATAAGAAGTAAAGCTAGCTCTACAGTGAGAGACAGTGAGTGCTATCAGTGGAGGCTAAGGCCTAGATCCTTCATCTTGGTCTTCTCCACAGCTGAGAGGCATTGCTCTTTGTAGGCATTATGCTAAGCAATGAGGGGGAGCTTTTGATGAAATTACTGCATCTTATTTTTTATTAGTTTATTTTTGTCTTTTTATGTGTGAGTGTTTTGCCTGCATGTGTGTATGCCCACCATGTATATGCCTGGTGTCAGAGAAGACCAGAAGAGGGCATTGGATCCCTGAGACCTGAAGTTACAGGTGGTAGCAAGCTGCCACATAGATTCTGGGAACCGAACTTCAGTCCTCAGAGAGAGCCACAAATTTGGGGGTTTTAGCGAGCTCTCCGGTAAAGTTGGCCAACTGGTTTGACCTCTTGTTTTTTCTCGAATCTTCCTCTTGCTGTATCTTTTCTTATGTTAGATAAGAATATATTTGTGTCGATGTAGGACAAGGAATAAAACAAGAAAGGTTCTTGTGCCAGTCAGGGAATTCTAATAACTGACACAGAAATATTTCCTTCCTGTTCATCTCCCCAAGGTTTTCACTAGGAAACTTCAGGGAGCTTAAGAGGGAGGCTGTACACTAGAACAGAAGTCTTTAGTCAGAGGTAGAGCTATGATAGAGCAGGTGAGCTCACCTTCAGGCATCTATTGGAAGATGACGAAACAGCAGTGTGTCTAACTCAGAGAAAGGAAGGAAACATGGATCAAAGGCAGGGGTTCCATGACTGATGTGAGAGGGTGTCTCAGCAGACAGTGAACTGAGCCTGGCTTAGCTTACTTAGCCAGAGTAATGCAACTACCTTATTTATAACCCAGAGGGCGACAGGAGGTTGCTCTTAGTAAGCTGAGATGGTTGTCAATCGGGGTGTGTTTTATTTGGTTAAAGAATTTCTGGTGCTTGCTTTTCCCAAGACCTGTGCAACAGTGGCTCCTGCTGACCGCTTGGCTAATATAGCACCTGTGTTACCGAACACTGGAGGTGAGGTCTCAGCACACTGAGCTGTCAATGGTCGGGAAGGGCGCTCTAGAGGTAATAGGACACATGGAGGTGTAGGTTGGCTGGAGAAAGGTTCGTGATGGTTTACTGTGCTGGCAAGCAACTTCCCTCTGTAACGTTAGCTCTTCCACTCTCTGGACAGTGTGATTCCTCAGCCAGGCTGCCCTTGTTTTCCCTTGTTTGGCTAGACTGTAATATGTTCATAGCTTTTACAGTCTTCTAGCCTTTACCTTCTGGGATCAAGTGATATCATATAATAGCCCCCTTAGCCTTGCTTGGGAAAATCCAGTGTTAGTTTCTTCATTAGTTCAAGGATTAAGATTGTATATGTTTGATTTTTTTTTTTTATTTTTGCTTGTTGGTTTTGTGACAGAGTTTCTCTATATAAACCTGACTGTCCTGGAACTCACTCTGTAGACCAGGCTGGCCTTGAACTCATATCCTCCTGCCTTTGTCTCCCAAGTGCTGGGATTAAAGATGAGTGCCATCACTGCCTGGCTGATTGTATGACTCATGTTTTATTTTACTTTGTCCTATAGATGAATAAACTTAGGCTTAAAGAGGAAGGTAGCTGGTTGACAACTTGAGCTAACCCTTGTATTATAGAACAGTATTAATATATGTCTTATAATATTAAATATATTATAGGATAAAGGTGTAACTCAATGATAAAGCAGGCACAGGAATTCCTGGGTTTAATTTTTAGCACCAAAAGAAAAATGCCCATTCTATTATTTTTCATTATATTAATGTTTTACTTTATTCAAAAATTTTGGGCTAGCAAATGGCTCAGTGGGTAAAGGAGCTTGCTTCCAAGACTGACAACCTGAGTTCACTCCCCAGAACCTTCGTAGTGGCTCCTGCTCATTGTCCTCTGTTCTCTACATGTCACATGGCATTCTTGTATGTGTTCACTCTCTGTTTCTGTGTCATACACATGCGTACATACTAGATAAAAGTTTAAATAATACAAACAAAAGTGTGTTTCCTGTTTTGTAAAATGAATGAGTCTTGATGATATGACTTCCACAGAGTACTGGAAGAACATAACGGGAGCCATCTTCCTCTTCCTGCTCTGTCTCCCAGCCACATGTGTCCCTCTTACAGCAGCCAGCGTGGCTCTTAGTTTACATCCCCTCCCACCTTGTCCTGGACTCAGTTTTCCAATGCAATGTTGTCTTCACACCTTTGCTATTGCAAATATAAGTATTTGCAATGAAAGTATATCTGAAAGATAGTTTTCCAGAATGAGAATGGCCAGGTCAAAAGAGCCAGACATTTGCCATTTGTCTTTGGTAAATATTGCTGAATTTCCTTTCTAAGAAATTATGAGCTGGGAGGTGGTGGCACATGCCTTTAATCATAGCACTCGAGAGACCGAGACAGATGGATCTCTGTGAGTTTGAGGCCAGCCTGATTTACAAAAGGAGTCCCAGGACAGGCTCCAAAGCTACAGAGAAACCCTGTCTTGAAAAAAAAAAATTATGTGTTTGTGGAAAAAAAAACTATTCTAAAAACCCAAACCTCTTAATAACCATTTCCTCTTCTCTGATCCACATCCCTTAAGAGTTTTTAATTAGCAATAATCATGCCCTGAATAAGCCTCATTGGCTGTGATACCACTGTGCAAAGCTTACAGCCCTTGGGACAGGAGGGAGAAGTAAATTCTCCAGGCTCAGTTCTATCTATTAGAACCCTCTGGCCCTTCTTCCCTAAAAAGGTGCCAGTGTTCCTACTGCTGGCTTCTACGCCTACAGTGAAACAGCTGCTCTTCAGTGTCATAGTGACCGAGTTCTTAGACTGCTGGGAGTTCTCATTTGGAGCACAGCAAGCATTATGCCAGTGCTTGTTTGTCTGTTTGTTGTTTTACTTTTTACCTTGGAATTAGTCTTATACACTGGGAGATAATTTTCTGACTTCATATAGGCCATTGCTACTAAAAATAACTCAATAGACAGTTCTTTTTTATTCTAAGTAATGGAAAAATGAAAAGCTATAATGAAAAGTCCTAAAATATTTATATTTTATTTTCAAGCACTTCATTTATCTGAGAAGTGTCCTGTCATGCTTACTAGGAGGGAGAAATGCTTCCAGGATGTTCTGCTCTGATTATATATCCATCCTCCCTCTATTTCAGCCAAAACCTCCAGATCATTTATTACTTCCAGGCAGCAGTAGGCTTTGGTTGTTTTTTTGAGACAGGGTCTCACTGCATAGCCCCGGCTGACCTAGAATTTGCTATGTAGACCAGGCTGACTTTGAACTCAGATCTGCTTGGCTCTGCCTTCCGGGTCCTGGGATTAAATACATGCCCCACTGTGCCTACTAGCATTAATTTTCAAATCTAAGCATTAGTTATTAACAAGCACGGCAAATTGAAAACGAGAGTCAGAACAGTTTCATTATGTTCCGTTTAAACACAGAGTATAATAAACACAGAGGAAGATGGCTCCCGCTGTGTTCTTCCAGTACTCTGTGGATGTCACACCATCAAGACGTAGTCATTTTATAATACAGGAAACACATTTTTATTTCTGACTTGAAATGTCATCTCAGATGAGAGCTTGGAGCTTAGTGGCTAAGAGTGGGGGCTGCTCCTGCAGAACCCCACAGCTCCGTTCCCAGCCCCATATGGGCAGTTCATGGTCGCTTGTCCCAGACGTCTCTGGGGCAGGTACTGTACTTACATGCACATACCCCCTCCATACACATAATTCAAAGTTAATCTTTTTTGTAAGGTGAGGATTTTGAACTTCAGAATGTATATGTATTGCCAGGCAATGTGTCCACATGCCTTTAATCCCAGCACTCAGGAGGCAGAGGCAGAGGGATCTCTGTGAGTTTGAGGCCAGCCTGGGCTACAGAGCAAATTCCAGGACAGGCTCCAAATCTACTCAGAAACCCTGTCTCGAAAAACAAACAAAAAAATGTGTTTATTGACTATATATTTAACATCACTTCTAAGGTAGTATTAAGGGGAAAATACTTAATCCATATAAAAACATGGACTGCAGTCTAATTCCAGAGGCCAGAGAGAAATTGCTGCTCTCACTAAGGGAAATCCTGTGTTCAGGAAATCTTCTGTACTCATTTGCTGAGACTGTGTAATAGTAAAATCGCTTATGTTTGCTTTTATTTTATTTTATGGTAGTGGCAGCTGACCTTAGGGCCGTATGCAAGATCTCTACTATTGGGTTATTTTCATTGTGAGACAGGGTCTCACTGCATTGTTCAGACTGGCCTTGATGTCACTGTGTAGCCCAAGCTGCCTCAGCTTTCAGAGTGGCCAGGATTATAGGTCTGTGTCACCAGGCCTGGCCCTAGAGAACTGATGAGAATGAAATGAATGAGAGTTCCACAGTGCTTCTGTCACAGTGCTCAGGTGTGAGGGGTTGAGTAAATGTATTTTTGTGATGAGCTCTTTTATTTGGATTCAGGTGAGCGGCCTGTGAGAGTTTATGCGGATGGAATATTTGACTTATTTCACTCCGGTCATGCCCGGGCTCTGATGCAAGCGAAGAACCTTTTCCCTAATACCTACCTCATTGTGGGAGGTAAGAGGGCATCGGATGGTTCTGGGTGTTGTTCTCTCTTTGTGGGAGGTAAGAGGGCATCGGATGGTTCTGGGTGTTGTTCAGAAAGAACAGTCTCCCTCCTGCTTGTGTGACTTGAGTGCAGTCATCGGCCCTGGTTACATTTATGAAAGGAAGGGTATGGCACAAGCTGCCCCAGATACAATCTATAGGGTAGATCAGCAGCAAGCGCACTGAGAGGGCCTGGATTATCTCACAGTCCATAGCTGAGGTTCCACAATTATAGAGGGGCTCTGATCTCTACTTAAAAACACCTCATCAGGGGGCTGGAGAAGTGGCTCAGCGGTTAAGAGCACTGACTGCTCTTCCAGAGAACCCAGGTTCAATTCCCAGCCCCCACATGGCAACTGTCTGAAAATCCAGTTCCAGGGGATCTGATACCTTCACACCAATGCACATAAAATAAAAGATAAATAAATCATAAAATAATAATAATAACAATAATAAAAGACTTATAAAAAAACACCTCATCAGCTTTGACTTCACAGAGGTAGAAAAGTCTGCCAAGCAAACGTTATGGTCAAGTCTAATCTTAGAAAAATAAGAAAGCGTTTTTAAAATTTATGTGTATGGGTAGGTTGGTTTGTTTGTTTTTGTTTTGTTTGGTAAGTTGGTTGGTCTTTATGTGTGTTTCTGTACCATATGTGTGCCTGGTGCCTGAGGAATTCAGAAGAGGACATTAGATCTGTGGGTCTAAAAGACAGGTGTGAGTGCTGGGACTCAAACTTGGGTATTTTATAAGAGCAGCCAGTGCTTAGCTGCTGAGCCGTCTCTTCAGCTTGAAAAGCTCCGCTGGTGTTTATTTCAAAGTCAAAATCTGAGTTCCGTTTTACCTTCTTTTCAAAAGTGTGAGCCTTAGTGTAGTTAGTTATGAAAACCATCGGTACCCAGGCTGAACTATATCAAAAGGTTCGTCTCCTGATTGGGTGGGGATGGGATCAGCACTGTTACTGGCCTAGAAAGTAGAAGATGGGGAAGGTTGGTGACTGGGGAAGGGTAGACAGAGGGGCCTTGACTTACGACTTTGGTGCTGTGAACCCAGTCTGCAGTGATGAGCTAACGCACAACTTCAAGGGCTTCACTGTGATGAACGAAAACGAGCGTTACGACGCCGTGCAGCACTGCCGCTACGTGGACGAGGTGGTGAGGAACGCCCCCTGGACACTGACACCTGAGTTCCTGGCCGAGCACCGGGTAAGAAACTGGCCATGTGCACTCATTCCTAGTTCCAGCATCCCCTCGGTGCCTGAGACAGAAGGCTAGTCTATCCGTCATGTATTTTTATAGTCGCTGTGTTCTAGTTGTTCCTCACAGCCATCTTGTGGGGATTATTCTTTCCTTTACATATGGAGAACAAGGCCCAGAGAAACTAATGAATGTGCTCCAGGTACACTGTTAGCAGGACGTCAATGAACTGTCTGGCTACATGGCGTGTTCCCCCACACAATAGGTGTGACCTACCCTTATAGCGTGCTAATCTCTTTAGAATAGCCATAGTTTTAGCCATAAATTGGCGGGGTTTATCTATCTGGGTTAAGAGACAGTTCAGCAGGTAGAGACACTTGCTGCCCAGTCGGATGACCTGAATTTGAACCCTGGAACCACATGCTAGAAGGGAGAGCTGACTCCTGCAAGTTACCCTCTGCCTACATGCACACATTCATGAACAAGTTGTACACATACAAAATAAATAGATTTAATTTTTTAAATGTACAAAAAGTGTTTATATTCCAAAGCCAAGAGACTGAAGCAGGAGGACCACAGGTTTGAGGCCAGCTTGAGCGACATAATAAAGACTTTGTCTCAAAAACAATCAAACATATGCTGGAGAGAAGACTCCGTAGTTTTAAAAATGTGTTTGTGTTCTTTCAAAAGACCAGAGTTTATTCCCAGTACCCACATGGAGTGGCTTGTAATTCCAGCTGCAGAGGATCCAGTGTCCTCTTCTGGGTTCCATAGAGCTTCATAGACAACTGTACACACACACACACACACACACACACACACACACACACACACACACTACTAATAAAATCTTTTTCAAAGTGGCTGGAGAGATGACTGTGTGGGTAAGAGCACTTATTGTTTTGTACAGAAGCTGAGTCTGGTTCCCAGCACCACATGGTAGCTCACACTGTCTGTAACTCCAGTTCTGAAGGATCCAACACTTTATGGCCTCCATGGGCACCAGGCACACACAAAATATAAAAATAATACTTTTCAAAAAGACAAACAAACAAAAACTGAATTCAAGAAGAAAAGCTTTGCATTTAGGAAATAGCACATGTTTTCTTCTGTTAATATTTTTTATTTATTTTTTATTGATTTTATTGAGCTATACATTTTTCTCTGCTTCCCTCCTTTCCTCTCCTCTTCTGTTGATTTAAGTTTACTTTCAGCTTTGGTTTGGGGCTAGAAATTGTGAGGGAACAAAAACCAGGGGTGTTTTTCACTCTTGTTTTAAGAAGTAATTATTATTTAAAACCCCCCTGCCTTTGAATTCTCCTGTATTGAAGCATGCTTCCTACAAAGGTGGGCATGAGCCGGGCGGGTGACGCACACCTTTAGCACTCAAGAGGCAGAGGCAGGCGGATCTCTGAGTTAGAGACCAGCCTGGTCTACAAGAGCTAGTTCCAGGACAGGCTCCAAAGCTACAGAGAAACCCTGTCTCGAAAAGCCAATAAATAAATAAATAAATAAATAAATAAATAAATAAAAAACCCAAAAACCTCAAGGTGGCCATGAAAGGGATGGATTTGTTACAGTGGTTAGAGACCCTCAAGTCTGAGAAACAGTGTACATATTGTTACTTCTCTGCGTGGGGGCGTGGATCATTGCAGGAGGCAGGAAAGAACAAAGCCGCCTTTCTTCTGAGGCAGTACTTGAATAGGCCTGAAGCCAGTGGAGAGTTATTGTAACTGTTTAGGATTAGGACAGACCATTTACTACATTTTATTTACTTTATTTACTCCTCGTGTGTATGTATGGGGGCCATAACACACACATAAAGGTTAGAGAACAGTGTGGGGGCGCCAGTTTTCTCAGGGATGAAACTGGATAAAGAGGCTTGGCAGCAGGTGCCTTTACCTGCTTGCCAACTCACCAGCCCAGACCTATTGTGGTTCTCCAGCTTTCCTCCATCAGCTCTTAACAGTGGAACCCAGGGTGGTTTGCAAGGTGTCCTCTGCAACACAGCTGGCCCCAGACAGAGGTGCCAGAGGTGAACTTGCCATGCCCCCTTCCTCCTTGTAAGCAGTAAATCTTCACCATGTGGCCTGCTTGCTGCTGAGCCTTTACTTTGCTATCCTGTCAGCTTGTTCATGGGTGATGGAGAGGTTAGCTTAGGTCCTGAGGAGCTTGCTTCACACTTGTGCAGCGTCTGGGGGTTGGGTTTGCTTGAGTTAGTATTGCATTAACAAAGGTTTACGGGCTGTCCAGAGAGAGTCACTAGATGAGGGTTTGCAATCTTCCTAAACTTGTGAAGTCTGTTTACAGCAATCCTGTGACAAACACTTGTCGCTTTGGGTTTTCTATTTCTTGGTAGAACAAATATATTTGTTCTGGGAAAAGACATTAGTTGCTATTTATAAATACTCCTTTTCTTGGGAACTAAGAGAAGAAGCAGTTAACTAAGCAATAACAAAATCTTTCACCCTTTTAGAAGCCGTTTTGTGGCCTTTTTCTATAGACCTGGAAAGACAGGGAAATTCCCTTCTTTCTAGGCTCTGTCTACTAACTGGCTTACCAGACGCCTCTCCTGCTCCACTGAACATAGCATGCTGGTGGTGTACGGAGGGAGGCAGCATTTCTCTCTTAGACCAGGAGAAGAAATTGGCAAACTTGCTATGTAGAAGCCATAAATAATTAGGTTGCTTTCCCAGCAGATTGTGGGATATATGAAACAGGTAAAAAGGTACAGAGAAAAGGTGGTTTTGAGGTGTGATCCTTGCCAGTTTCCCTTTTTCTGAGCCCAAGAATATTTACAGTGTCTTTCCAAGTGGTAGTTAGCCTGGAGATGAGCTGACATTTTCTTATTTTCAGATTGATTTCGTAGCCCATGACGATATCCCCTATTCTTCTGCGGGGAGCGATGACGTGTATAAGCACATCAAGGAAGCAGGTGAGTGAGCTGAGGTTCAGCTTCACTTTATGGGGTCTTGGGCAACTCCAGAGATCCAGCTACGGCACTGCTTTACAGTAGGGAGCAGGAACTCTGAGAAATCCATATTCTGCTTCTAGTCAAATTGTGGACAGCAGCCTAAGTGAGCACCACCAATACCCGTCAATTCTTGGTCCAAACAGCTCATTTTCATCTCTTAAATTTAGGACAAGTCCCTTATTTTTCTTACTATGACAGTGTTTGCTTCCTTTCTCCTAGGCCTTGATTCCCGTGTGCCAGATTTCTAGAGTTTGCTCACCCTTCCTTCCTTCCTTCCTTCCTTCCTTCCTTCCTTCCTTCCCTCCCTCCCTCCCTCCTTCCTTCTTTCTTTTCTTTTTTCTTTCTTTTTTCCTTTCTTTCTTTCTTTTTTGTGATCTGGAACTGACAGTGTAGACCAGGCAGGCCTTGAGCTTACAGAGATCCACCTGCCTCTACCTCCCAAGTGCTGGATTTAAAGAGGAATCTGTTTTTTGAGAAAAAGAAGTGTATTAGTCCCAAGTTCTGTCTACGACATGACAGTGTTTGTCTGTTTGTTTCAACTCAGGCATGTTTGCTCCAACACAGAGGACAGAAGGTATCTCTACATCAGACATCATCACCCGCATTGTCCGTGACTATGATGTGTATGCGAGACGGAACCTCCAAAGGGGCTATACTGCCAAGGAGCTCAATGTCAGCTTTATCAACGTGAGTTGCAACCTCATCTTGCAGTTCCCTGCTTCTGTAGGGCACACCTTCCTTCTCCATCTGGGCTGCGCACGCTTTTCAGTCTGCTGGGATTATCATTCCCTAGAGCTAATGTACGCCTCTTTTCAGGAAAGACCACATTAATCACTTCACCCAGGTTCTGCCCTCGTGGTCTAAAAGATCAGTGTACTGATACAAGGACAGGCAAACAAAGCCAGACGTGGTGGCGCATGCCTTTAGTCCCAGCACTCAGGAGGCAGAGGAAGGAGAGCTCTGTGTTCCAGGCCAGCTAGGGCTACACAGTGAGATCCTATCTTTAAAAAAATAAAATAAAATAAACAATTCAGCAAAAATATGTGCCTATGGTATATATATATATATATATATATATATATATATATATATATGTGTGTGTGCAGATATATCTGTTCTAGGGAAAGAACTAGGGGTACGATCAGAATTTTCAGGCTAGAATTAGTAACATGACACTCTGTCTCAAAAAAATAACAAATATCACTATGTCAGTATATTTAGAGAGGCTCTTAACTGTTTGGTTGCTTTTTTTTTTTTAATCGGGTGTTCTTTTGAGACTGTGTTGAAAACTATGGATCTTTCCCATGTGGCTAATGACACACAGCACTTTATGCACAGTTTCCCCACATGGGCAAGTCCTGTTTCATAAACATGCAAGTACTTTTGCTTAATATTGACTTTTAGAAATGCTATAAATTTTATATATACATAATACTTCAGTAAAGTTGATTTAAAAAGAAGAAATCGAGTACTGAGCTACCTCCAGGACCAGGAATAACCAGCAGGATGACTAGAACTGCGACACTGACTGTACCACGAGGACAACCATCCGAGCTTTGGATCCACTGGCACCTAGGAGACAGCCCCAGCCACACCTATTAGAGGAAAAGATGAGTAGAAAAGGTAAGATCACATGCTATACCACAAAGAGCAACACAATACCAGTAAAACCTAAAGACCCTATAAAAACAAGACCTGAGTAACCAAATATGGATGAACCAGAAGAAAATGATGTAAAAAATAACCTCAAGAGAATGTTTCAAATTCTTAAAAATGAAATGAGAAATTACCTTAAAGAAATGGAGGAAAAAACAAACAAAAAATTGGAAGATATCAGCAAATCACTGAAAGAAAACCAAGAGAAAGAACTCAAACATTAAAAGAAGCTATTCAGGACTTGAAAACTGAGATAGAAAAAATAAAGAAAACACAAGCCAAAGGAATGATAGAAACAGAAATCATGAGAAAAAGATCAGGAGCGACAAATGCAAGCATGAACAACAGAATACAAGAAATGAAAGAGAGAATCTCAAGCACTGAAGATAAAATAGAGGAAATAGACTCATCAGTTAAAGAAAACATTAAATTTAACAAAAGCTTAACCCAAAATATCCATGAAATATGGGACACCATAAAAAGACCAAATCTTAGAATAATAGGTATAGAAGAAGGAGAAGAAGTTCAACTCAAAGGCACAGAAAATTTATTTAACAAAATCATAGAAGTAAACTTGCTCTACCTACAGAAAGATATGCCTATGAAGATACAAGCTTATGGAACACCAAATAGACTGGATCCAAAAAAAAAAAAAAGTCCTCTCACCACATAATAATCAAAACACTAAACATACAGAGCAAAGTAAGAATATTAGGAGCTGCAAAGGAAAAAGGCCAAGTAACATATAAAGGTAGACCTATCAGAATTACACCTGACTTCTCAGTGGAGACAATGAAAGCCAGAAGGTCATGGTCAAGCATTATGCAGACATTAGGAGACCACGGATGCCAGCCCAGACTACTATACCTAGCAAAACTGTCGATCACCATAGAAGGACAAAATAAGATATTCCATAACAAATCTAGATTTCACCAATACGTAACCACAAACCCAGCCCTACACAAAATACTAGAAGGAAAACTCCAACCCAAGGAAGATGGCTACATCAACAAAAATTCACACAATTGATGATCTCATTACAGCAAATATCAAAGAAGAAAAAAATGCACAAATTAACATCACCAACACTGAAAACTAAATTAACAGGAGGTAGCAATCACTGGTCATTAATATCCCTTAATGTAAATGGACTCAACTCACTTATAAAAAGGTACAGGCTAACAGATTAGATACAAAAACAGAATCCATCCCTCTTCTGCATACAAGAAACTCATCTCAACCTCAAAGACACATTGTCTCAGAGTAAAAGGTTGGGAAAAAATATATCAATCAAATGGACCTAAGAAACAAGTGGGTGTAACTATCCTAATATCTAACAAAATAGACTTCAAGCTAAAATCAGTCAAAAGAGACAAAGAAGGTCATTTCATATTAGTCACAGGAAAAATCCATCAAGAGGAAATTTCAGTACTGAACATCTATGCCCCAAATACAAGGGCATCCTCATATGTCAAAGAAACACTTCTAAGGCTTAAATCATATATTAAACCCCACACACTAATAGTGGGAGACTTCAGCACTCCCCTCTCACCACTGGACAGGTCAGTCAGACAAAAAATGAACAGAGAAATAAGAGAACTAACAGATGTTAATACTGTTATTACTCAAATGGATTTAACATCTATAGAATATTTCATCCAAACAGAAAAGAATATACCTTCTTCTCAGCACCTCATGGAACCTTTTCAAAAATTGACCACATACTTGGTAACAAAACAAACAACAAATACAAAAAAATTGGAATAACCCAATGTGCCTTATCAGATCACCATGGTATAAAACTAGAAGTCAACAGTAATACTAATTCCAGAAAACCCACAAACACATGGAAATTAAACAATGCTCTCCTGAATCATCAATGGGTCAAGGAAGAAATAAAGGGAGAAATTAAAGACTTCCTAAAATTCAATGGAAATGACCACACAACATACCCAAATTTATGGGACACAATGAAAGCAGTGTTAAGAGGCAAGTTCATAGCACTAGATGCCTACATAAAGAAGCTAGAAAATCCCACATTAGTGAATTAACAGAACATTTGAAAACAAAAAGAAGCAAACTTACCTAAGAGAACTAGATATCAGGAAATAATCAAATTGAGAACTGAAATCAACACAATAGAAAAAAAAAACAATTCAAAAACTCAATGAGACAAAGAGTTGGTTCTTCCAGAAAAATCAACAAAATAGACAAACCTTTATCCAAACTAACCAAAAGGCAGAGAGAGAATATCCAAATTAACAAAATCAGAAATGAAAAGGGGGACATAACAACAGACACAAAGAAATACAGAGGATCATCAGGTCATATTTTGAAAACCTGTATTCCACAAAATTGGAAAACTTAAAGGAAATGGACAACTTTCTGGATAAATATCACTTACAAAAATTAAATCAAGACCAGATAAGCAAATTAAACAGACCTATAACTGCTGAAGAAATAGAAACAGTCATCAAAAGTCTCCCAACCAAAAAAAGCCCAGGACCAGATGGTTTCAGCTCAGAATTCTACAAGACTTTCAAAGAAGAACTAATACCAATACTCCAAATTATTCCACACAATAGAAACAGAGGGAACATTGCCAAACTCTTTTTGTGAGGCTACAATTACCCTGATACCCAAACCACAGAAAGACAATACTAAGAAAGATTATTATAGATCAATCTCACTCATGAACATTGATGCAAAAATACTAAATAAAATCCTAGCAAATTGAATCTAAGAACACATCAGAACCATTATCCACCATGATCAAGTCAGCTTCATCCCACAGATGCAGGGATGGTTCAACATACGAAAATCTGTCAGCGTAATCTACCATATAAACAAGCTGAAAAGTAAAAACCACATGATCATCTCATTAGATGCCAAAAAAGCATTTGACAAAATACAACATCCCTTCATGATAAAAATCTTGGAGAGAGCAGGGATACAAGGAACATAACTAAACATAATTAAGGCAATATACAACAAGCCAACAGCCAACATCAAATTAAATGGAAAGAAACTTCCAGCGATTCCATTGAAATCAGGAACAAGACAAGGTTGTCCATTCTCTCCATATCTACCCAATATAGTCCTTGAGGTCCTAGCTAGAGCAATAAGACACCAAAGGGACATCAAGGAAAAGAAGTCAAACTCTCACTGTTTGCTGATGATATGATAGTGATCCCAAAAATTCTACCAAGGAACTTCTACAACTTATAAACACTTTCAGCAATGTAGCAGGATACAAGATTAACTAAAAAAAAAAATCAATAGCCCTCCTGTACATAGATGATAAAAGGGCTGGGGAAGAAATCAGAGAATCAACACCCTTTACAATAGCCACAAATAGCATAAAATATCTCGGAATAACTCTAGCCAAACAAGTGGAAGACTTGTATGACAAAATTTAAAATCTTTGAAGAAAGAAATTGAAGAAGACACCAGAAAGTAGAAAGACCCCCCCCATGCTTTTGGGTAGGCAGAATTAACATAGTAAAAATGACAATCTTACTGAAAGCAATCTACAGATTCAACACAATGCCCATCAAAATCCCAGCAAAATTCTTCAAAGACCTCGAAAGAATGGTACTCAACTTCATTTGGAAAAGCATAATACTTAGGATAGCCAAAACAATCCTGGGCAATAAAAGAACTTCTGGAGGCATCACAATCCCTGACTTCAAACTCTACTACAGAGCTACAGTACTGAAAACAGCCTGGTATTGGCATAAGAACAGACAGGAGGACCAATGGAACTGAATAGTAGACCTCGATATCAATCCACACGTCTTCAAACACCTGGTCTTTGACAAAGAAGCAAAAAATATCAAATGTAAAAAAGAAAGCATATTTAACAAGTGGTGCTGGCATAACTAGATATCAACATGTAGAAAAATGAAACTAGACCCATATCTATCACCATGCACAAAACTCAAGTCCAAATGGATCAAAGACCTCAATATAAAGCCAGCCACACTGAACCTTATAGAAGAGAAAGTGGGAAGTACACTTGAACACATTGACACAGGGAACCACTTCCTAAATATAATCCCAGCAGCACAGACACTGAGAGAAACAAATAGTAAATGGGACCTCCTGAAACTGAAAAGCTTCTGGAAAGCAAAGGAAAGACAAAACGACAGCCTACAGAATGGGAAAAGATCTTCACTAACCCCACATCAGAAAGAGGTCTGATCTCTAAAATATACAAAGAACTCAAGAAATTGGACACCAAAAGATCACATAATCCAATTAAAAATGGAGTACAGATCTAAACAGAGAACTCTCAACAGAGGAATCTAAAGTTGCTGAAAGACACTTAAGAAAATGTTCAACATCCTTAATCATCAGAGAAATGCAAATCAAAACAACTCTGAGATTCCATATTACACCTGTAAGAATGGCCAAGATCATAAACACTGATGACAACTTACGCTGGAGTGGTTGTGGAGAAAAGGGAACACTTCTGCATTGCTGGTGGGAATGCAAGCTGGTATAACCCTTTTGGATGTCAGTGTGGCGATTTCTCAGAAAATTAGGAAACAACCTTCCTCAAGACCCAATAATACCACTTTCGTGTATATATCCAAAGGATGCTCAATCATGCCACAGGGACATGTACTCAACTATGTTCATAGCAGCTTTGTTTGTCATAGCCAGAACCTGGACACAACCTAAATGCCCCTCTACCAAAGAATGGATAAGGAAAATGTGGTACATTTACACAATGGAGTACTACACAGCAGAAAAAAATAATGACATCTTGAATTTTGCAGGAAAATGGATGGAACTAGAAAACATTATTTTGAGTGAGGTAACCCAGACACAGAAAGACAATTATCACATATACTCACTCATAGGTGGTGTTTAAACATAAAGCAAAGAAAGCCAGCCTACAAACCACAATCCCAGAGAACTTAGACAACAATGCGGACACTAAGAGAGACTTACATAGCTCTAATCTACATGGGAAGTAGAAAGTAGAAAAAGACAGGATCTCCTGAGTAAATTGGGAGCATGGGGACCTTGGGAGAGGATTAAGGGGGGGAGGGGAACAGAGAAAAATGTATATCAATTAAAAAAAAAGAAAAAAAATCTACTAACTATATTCTGTGCAACAATTAATTAGCCAAAATCCTTTATTTGTTTCCAGTTCTGTGAAACAGTAAGGTAAATCAGAATAAGCCTTAATGCTACATCCCTTCATCCCAGGATTTGGGAGACAAAGACAGGAGGGTCACTTCAGGTTCAAGGTCAGCTTGCTATATAGTGTGTTTCAGGGCAGCCAGGGCTATATAGGAGATCCTATCTCAAAAAAACAACAACAACAACAAAAAAAGTAAGTGAGCCAAGTGTGGTGGTGCATACCTATAATCCCCAGCACTTAGGAGGCTGAGACTGGGGGATTGCAAATATGAGGCTCATCTAAGATACATAGCGAGTGTCTCATAAACCAAAAGCAAGAGCTAGAGAGATGGCTCAGAGGTTAGGCACACTGGTTGCTCCTCTGGAGGCCCAGTTCTTTTCCCAACATCATTCAGCTCACAATCATCCGTAACTCAGGTCCCAAGGCATCCAGTGACCTCCCTTTACCTGTGCAGCCAAGCGCAAGCTGGGTTACTAAGCTGTACTGTGGCCTCTTCCTTTCTTATGATACAGAAATTCGGAGACTACCTTATCCCCTCCTCCACCCCCACATTGTTTTGTTTTTAACAAAAGGTCTGAAGTCCTAGCCCAGACTGACTTAAAACTTGTGATCCTCCTGCCTTGGCCTCCTGAGTATGGGGTTACTAGCAAGTGCCGCCATGCTTAGATGATACAGTACTTTACATTTGACTAAACACCACTCCTTCTTCATAGAGCAGTGATACCATTTTACACTAATGTTTAAGAACTTTGGTAGAACCAACTTTTTTTATCATTTTCCAGATGAGCAAGCAGATCTTCAACTTGTATGTATGTATGTATGTATGTATGTATGTATGTATGTATGTATGTGTCTGTCTGTCTGTCTGTCTATCTATCTATCTATCTATCTATCTATCTATCTATCTATCTATCTATCT